TCCGGAAGGGCCCCTTCGCCGTCTACGCGCTGCACCTGGCGGCCGCCGACGTCCTGTTCCTGGGCTGCCAGGTGGCCTTCTCGGTGGCGCGGGCCGCCCTGGGCGCGCGGGCCCCCCTGGACTTCGCGGTCACCTTCCTGGCCTTCGCCACGGGGCTCTGGCTGCTGGCGGCCTTCAGCCTGGAGCTGTGCGTGGCCGAGGTCTTCCCCGCCTGCCACGCGGGCTGCCGGCCGCGCCACACGTCGGGCGTGGTGTGCGGGCTGCTCTGGGCGCTGACGCCGCCCGCCGTGCTGCTGCCCGCCGACGCCTGCGGCCTCCTGCGCCGGGGCGCGCGCCCGGGGGCCTGCGTGGGGCTCCACGCGGCCAGCGTGGCCTGGCTGCTGGCGCTGGTCTGCGCGGCCTGCGGCGCCGGCCTCGTCCTCCTCGTCTGGGTGGCCTGCTGCTCCTCGCGCCCGCGGCCCCGCTTCTTCGGCCCGGTGCTGGGCTCAGCGCTGCTGCTGGCGCTCTGCGGGCTGCCCTACGTCCTCTACTGGAGCCTGCGGTCCCTGCTCAGCCTGCTGCCCCCCTTCCTGCCGCTGGCCGGCCTCCTGGCCTGCGTCCCCCCCACCGCCCGGCCGCTCCTCTACTTCACGGCCGGCCGCCAGCCCGGGCAGCGCCAGCCTCTGCGGGCCGTTCTGGAGAGGGCGCTGGGGGACGGCGGCCCGCGGGGGCCCGGGGGGCTGGCCCTGCCCATGGGCACCGTGTAGGGTTCCCGCACCTCCCCCCTGACCCCACACCCCGCACCCCTCCCCCTCCCCGCTCACCTGCACCCCTCCCCCAGCCCTCACCCCGCACCCCTCACCCCTCATCGCATCCCGCACCCCTCACCCAGCCCTCACCCCTCCCCCGCACCTCTCCCCCCTCCCCCAGCCCTCACCCCGCACCCCGCACCCCTCACCCAGCCCTCCCAGGACCCAGTGGGACCCGACCCCATCCCACCCCACCCCACTCCACTCGCTCTGGGACCCAAGGGCCGTGGACAGAGTGACAGCCGGTTCCTGATCCCCGCAGAGATCAGGGGAGCATGAGGGAGCCTCTTGGGGGGCTGTCCTTCGACCCTGCCCTGCCTCAGCAGGTCCCAGAACCCAGGTGGCTTCCTCCAGGGCCTACCCGCAGTCTCCTCATTGGCCACCAGGTGGAGCTGCTTCCCCACCAACTGCATCCAAAGTGGGGTCACTGCAGAAGGGCAAGGGGCGCCCCCCTGGCCCCCCCCGGCCGGGAACCAAGTGTTCTGGTGACCCTGCTGCCTGGAGGGCGCTCTGCCCAGCCCCAGCCCCACCTGCACCCCCCTCCCGGAGTCCTCCGCTCACCCCTCCCCCAGCCCCAGCCCCGCAGGACACACTGAAGAGAGAACCCCACACGCTCGGACCCCCAGGGAGACCTCGGCGCAGACCTTCCAGCCGCGTCTGCTTTTAACCGAGACCCGAGGAAATGCCCGTTTTTACCCAAATGAAGACTCCGTGCGCCACGCGGCCCCCAAGCACCGGCGGCCGGGGCTGCCCCTAAAGGCCGCCTTCTCACCAGGAGTCCAGGCTGGTTCTTGTCCGGGCAGGGGGGACGCTGAGAACGGGAGGGGAGCGCTTCACCCCAGACGCCACCTTCGCGGTGTCTCCGCCCCGGGACCCGGACCGCGTGGTTCCAGCCGCCCCCCCCCCCCCCCCATTCGTCTCCCAGACGGCGCCTGAGCCTGGAGGTTCCAGCCAAGGGGGGTGGTGAGCGGGGAGTCTCGGCTGTGGGAGCCTCTGTCCTAACGCAGTGGTTCTCCACCTTCTGGCCCTTTAAATACAGTTCCTGTTATGACCCAACCATAACATTATTTTCGTTGCTACTGCGTAACTGTAATGTTGCTGCTGTTATGAATCGTCATGTAAATATCTGACATGCAGGGTGGTCTTAGGCGGCCCCTGTGAAAGGGTCGTTCGACTGCCAAAGGGGTTGGGACCCACAGGTTGAGAACCGCTGCTCTAATGGTTCCTGCCAGACCCCAAGGAGGGTGTGGCCTCCTTCCTGGAAGGCCAGATTGGGGTGCGGGGTGCGGGCAGTTTCAGAGGAGGGGTGCCAAGGGTCAGCCCATCCTCCAGTCCCAGGAGATGTCTGCAGGGCCCCTTGTGTGCACCTGTGGGGACAGGCGGGCAGGGTCTGGGGCATGTGGTCAGCAGAGCTGCCCAGACAGATGTGGAGTCTGGGGTGTGGGGGCGCCAGCCTGAGCCCGGCTGACCGAGCTGCGTCCTGTTCCTGGCCGGGCGGGCACGGGCTGGGCTCCGTCCTGCTGGCACGGCTCCGGCTGGGCGCCCGTAGCAGGCCGCCCCACAGCATGGGCAGAGCGGCCGGTCCTCCGGGTCCCGGGTCCTGAGGGCCAGTCCTGACCCGCAGGGTGGCAGCGACAGGACGCCGCTCCCGTCCGGGACGGAGCTCCGTGTGCCCAGCCTGCCCGGCTCAGCACCCCCCAGCTGCTGCTGCGGCCTGGCGCTCGGGCCTCCTGCCCAGCCACGGGCGTCGATCCTTGTGTCCGTCTGTCCTGTGACACCGGGAGCTTCCTGGCGGGAGGAAATGTTCTCCGCTCCTCCGTGTACGATGGTGCGGCTGAAATTGGGTGGAGTCTGATCAGTGGGTCTTCGGTTCTGGAACCTTCCTGGCCTGCCCAGTCCTGACCCCTGACCTGGAGCCTGAGGGTATGTGGGGTGGGGAGGCCTAGGTGGCTCCCTGCGGAGCCCAGAGGGCAGAGGGCAGCCATCCCAGACCCTCGCGACCCCTCACACCAACAAACACCGTGCTGGGTGCTGGGCAGAGCGCCAGGTGGACGCTCTGTGTGGCCTGTCCCCACGGAGCCCAGCATCGGACCTCAAGACCTAAGCACCCGAAGGTGCCGCCTCCCAGGCCACCACGTGGGGCTGGGCTTGGACCCTCGGGTGCAGTCCGGGCTGTCAGTGACGTCACCGTGGAGGGGACCTGGCTGTGGCTTGTGGGGCGTCCACAGGACAGAGCCGTGGACACACTGGCTGTGGCGCTGGCTTCTCCGTCCAGGGCGCCGTGGGTGGCACCCCCCCCCCCAGGAGAGGGCCCCGGGCTGCCCCTTAGGGGCTGGCTCCGCGCCCAGCTCTGGGCGCTGCTCAGGGTGCAGCAGCCCCGGCAGGAGCCGAAGGCTCGAGTGAACGGATGTGGGGCCTGGAGGAAAACTGCTCTGTGCCCAGGGAGGCGCTGGCCTGGTGTCCTTGCCTCCCCCTGTGGCCGGAGGGCCCCCCGCCTCCCCCCCCCCCCCCCCCGTGCCTGCATGTGACCACCCTCAGGTGCCAGGGCGGGGCTTTGAGAAGAGGCCCAGCGCCTCTAAACACCCTCAGGCCTGAGACCTCCCGGCCTCTCCAGGGGGGACGGGCCCTGCTCAGCCCCGAGCCCCCCGGGCGCACAGGGCAGGCCCTCGTCAGTCCCTGGGCTGGAGGCCAGCCCGGGCACCGCAGGCCTGCAGATGGGCACGGGCTGGCATCCACTGGGACGGGCCCTTTTCCCTGGTCGCCAGCGCTTAGTCATCGGGAATTGCACTTTATTTTATTTTTTTAAAAAAATATATTTTATTGATTTTTTACTGAGAGGAAGGAAGAGGGACAGAGAGTTAGAAACATCGATGAGAGAGAAACATCAATCAGCTGCCTCCTGCACACTCCCCACTGGGGATGTGCCCGCAACCAAGGTACATGCCCTTGACCGGAACCGAACCTGGGACCCTTCAGTCCGCAGGCCGACGCTCCATCCACTGAGTCAGACTGGTTAGGGCGGAAATTGCACTTTAAAATGCAGACTCCGGCCACCAGGATGTCAGACGGGGCCTCCCGAGGTCGCCAGGCCACAGGGGCGGAGGCTGTCTGCTGTCACCTGTCACCTGAGCCGGCGGCTCCTCCCCACACCGCTGCCGTTCTCCAGAACGGAGAGCAAGATGAACTGGTCCTTTGCTGCTTTTATTTTATTGTTGGAGGGAAACAGGCCCAGGGAGCCCATGTTTTGAGAAGAAGGGGGCGAGCTCAGTTTCCGATGGACGCGAGGAATGATCCGCACGTTCAATGCGGCTCTGAATCCCCGGTGGGAGTGAGTCCTCCCCGGCCTGATGGGGCCCGGCAGGGCGGGGCTGCCTCGGTTCCCCGGGAGCCAGGCCTCCTCTGCCGGGAGCACCGGCCTGGGGGCTCCGGTGAGCCGCCCGTCTCAGCCCACTGCCCGCAGCTCCAGGGTGGCCGGCGCGGGGCTAATGGCCGGGCAGAGCTTCCCGCAGGAGGAGCGGGGGCGGCTGCGGAGCCGATTAAGGACATTTGGCGGCTTCTGTGGGGAGCCCGGGGCAGACAGACGGAGCCGGGCAGCCAGCAAGCCGCCTGGCAAGGCCACCTCCTCATTAGTGGCTCGTTAGGAGGCCACTGGGCATCTGCTCCAGGGAGGGCCAGCCCCTCATGACAGACTTGCTGGATGGGTGGCTGCCCTCCAAAGTCCTGCCCGCACGGTGTGACCACCCCCCCGCACCCCCCCCCCCCCCCCGCACGCTCTGGGGCGAGGGTAACTGTTCAGAGGAGGTGGGCTCCTGGCCGGCAGCCAGGAGGGGAGCAGCTTTTCAAGGATGAGTGTGGCTCCGGCTGCCACTCGGAGCGGGAGTGGGGGACCCACTCAGCCTCTAGGAGAGCCCGGGTCAGTGATGCCGCCTCACGCCATGTTGATCTATTATATCAGCATTTCTCAACCTTCCTAATGCTGCGACCCTTTCATACAGCTCCTCATGTTGTGGTGACCCCCAATTTCATTGTTACAAATTGAACATCATTAAAGCATAGTGATTAATCACAAAACAGTATGTAATTATATATGTGTTTTCCGATGGTCTTAGGCGACCCCTGTGAAAGGGCCGTTCAACCCCCAAAGGGGTCGCGACCCACAGGTTGAGAACCACTATATCATCATTAACACCATCATCACCATCATCATCACCATCTCCATCACCATCACCATTACCACCACCACCATCACCACCACCACCAGCATCACCATCACCACCACCATCACCACCACCACCACCACCACCACCATCACCACCATCACCACCACCATCACCACCACCACCGCCATCACCACCACCACCACCACCATCACCACCATCACCACCACCACCATCACCACCGCCGCCATCACCATCGCCGCCACCACCGCCATCACCGTCACCACCACCACCACCACCACCACCATTACCACCACCACCACAACCATCACCACCGCCACCGCCATCGCCATCATCACCATCACCACCATCACCACCATCACCATCACCACCACCACCACCACCACCACCACCACCACCATCACCACCATCACCACCATCACCATCACCACCACCACCACCATCACCACCATCACCACCACCACAACCATCACCACCGCCACCGCCATCGCCATCATCACCATCATCACCATCACCACCATCACCACCATCACCACCACCACCACCATCACCACCACCGCCATCACCATCACCATCACCATCATCACCATCACCATCATCACCACCATCACCATCACCATCATCACCACCACCACCACCACCACCACCACCATCATCACCACCACCACCACCACCATCACCACCATCACCATCACCACCACCACCACCACCATTACCACCACCACCACCACCACCACCACCACCACCACCACCACCATCACCACCACCACCATCACCACCACCACCACCATCACCACCACCACCATCACCACCACCACCATCACCACCACCATCACCACCATCACCATCACCACCATCACCACCACCACCACCACCACCACCACCACCATCACCACCATCACCATCACCACCACCACCACCACCACCACCATCACCACCATCACCATCACCACCACCACCATCACCATCACCACCATCACCATCACCACCATCACCATCACCACCACCACCACCACCATCACCATCACCACCATCACCATCACCACCATCACCATCACCACCACCACCACCATCATCACCATCACCATCACCATCACCACCATCACCATCACCACCATCACCATCACCACCACCACCATCACCACCACCACCATCACCACCATCACCATCACCACCACCATCACCATCACCACCACCACCACCACCACCATCACCATCACCACCACCATCACCACCACCACCACCACCATCACCACCATCACCATCACCACCACCATCACCATCACCACCACCACCATCACCACCACCACCATCACCATCACCACCACCATCACCATCACCACCATTACCATCACCACCACCACCATCACCATCACCACCATCACCATCACCACCACCACCATCACCACCACCACCACCACCACCACCACCATCACCATCACCATCACCACCACCACCACCACCATCACCACCACCACCACCACCATCACCACCATCACCATCACCACCATCACCATCTTCATCCTCCTCCTCCTCCTCAGCACCCCAACTCCTTGCCAAAGATGGAAAAAGGAGGGAGGAAGAGAGCCGCCCACCCTCGTCCACGCTGCACATCTCGGGGCCCTGCCCGCCCTCCATGCTCCTCCCCGGCCGTGCGCACACGTAGCCGCCCTGGCAGGTCACTCAGGGGGGCGGGGCTCCCGCGCTGCTGTATTGGCTGCCCGGGGCCCAGTAAGGCTGGGGGCGGGGTATGAGCCCATCTTCATGAGGTTGGGCAAACTGAGGTACAGAGAGGTGAGGGACCTGCGGGGGTGGGGGTCCCACCAGCAGCTCTGGGAGATATTGACAAGCCCAGGCCGTGGACCTTCTGGGCTTTCTGCCTCCACCTCGATGTGAGAATTGGGGTGCGGGAGGGTCCGAGGGTCCTGCTGTGAGAGGGCGCAGGGCACCCAGGCCCTCCTCTGAGCACCCCGCCCTGGGTGCGGCAGCCGGGGGCGGGCAGCGGAGTGTGTCAGGGAGAGGCGGGCCCTGGGAGGCAGACACCCACCGAGGACCAGGGGCGGCCGCTGGCACTCCAGACAAGGAGAGTGTGTCCCCCGCCCCCCAAGCGCCTGGGTGACCCCCCCACCCCACCCCCACCCCCGCCCCGCAGGGCAGCAGGAGGGAGGTGGGCAGGGCAGGGGTGAGCAGCGCTGGGCTGGGCGGGCTGGCGCTGGGAGGGGGCTGGTCCCCGGGGATTTGGGGGGACACTGCAGTCCGCTGAGTCCCTGCCCCCAGGATTTGCTGGGGCCCCGGCCTGGCCCGCCCACCCTCTGCCTCAGGCTCTGCCCCACCCCCTGGAGGGAGAGGCCACGGGGTGCCCGGCAGGTCTTCCTGGGCTGTGTTCCTTACTCTGACCCCGAAGCAAGCTGGGGGGGGGGTGGCGCCTCCCGAAGTCAGGTCACACCCGCCCAGCCCGCAGCCCGCAGCCCGGAGGCGGAGGCGGGAGGAGAGGAGGCGCCCGCGCCGGTGCTGCTGGTGCCGGTGCTGCTGGTGCCGGTGCTGCTGGTGCCGGTGCTGCTGGCAGCGGCTGGAGCGGACACTGCAGGCTGGGGGGGGGGCGTGGGGGGCAGTTGTGCGTCCCACTGGGCACGTGTCTCCTCCACCCCCGGGAGCCGGTCCCGCCCTCACTCACTCCACAGCCCTGGCAGCTCCTGCCCGTGCCCCCCCCTCCCCTCGCGTCCCCCAGCTCGGCCGGAGCTGCTGGGTCACCGGTCACCGCGGGGCTGAGCGGAGACTCCGCTGCGGTGAGGACAGCCTGGAGGGGAGCCGCCCGCCCTCATGCCCTGCTGCACGGTGAGTGCCGCCTGGGGGGGGGGGGGGCTGGGGCTGGAGGAGGGGCCGCGACTTCCTCAGGTTCCGGGGCTGGCGCTGGGCAGAGGCCGGTCACCCTGGGCCCCGCGATGCCCCGCAGAGCCCAGGCCCTGCTGCATTGCACCCCGGCTCCGAGCCCTCCTCCCGGCCGCAGCCCAGCGCCCCCTGGTGGAGAGGGCGATCCATGGGGGGGGCAGGTGGGCAGTAGGTGGGACGTAAGCGCCGTTGTCCCTTTCAGGGTCTGAAGCCCGTCTCCCCTGGTCGGCGCCCCTGTCTGCCTTCCTTGCCCACACGCTTTCTTCAGAAAACAGACGGGGAAGGGGTATTTGTAGTCTCCGGCCGGCGGCGGGGCACATGGGACAAAGCCGAGAGGCATCAGGTGCTCTGGGTGCAGAGGGCACCCCCGTGCCAGGGCCGGCAGTGCCAGCCTAGATGCCTGCCCGGAGGGGAGCTGACCTTCGGCCTGGGGGTCGGGGCCTGGCATCACGAGGGAGCAGTGCCAGCCCCAGGACCGAGGCTCTGGGGTCCCCGGCTCTGGGGGCTCCCACAGGGCACTGCAGGGGCAGCATGCTGCCCCCCCCCCCAGCCTTCAGGTCAGTGGGGAGCTGTGGGTCCACGCAGGTGCGGGGGGGGGGGGCTCTGCCTCTCTGCCCCCCAGGGACCCGGCCCCACGGGCAGGCACTGTCTTCTCTAGTGTTTATGTAACGAGCTGGCACGGGCCACGGAGAGGGAGGCTGGCGTGGGCCACAGAAGAGGGAGGCTGGCACAGGGGCCACGGAGAGGGAGGCTGGCACAGGGGCCACGGAGAGGGAGGCTGGCACAGGGGCCACGGAGAGGGAGGCTGGCTGGAGCCGCACTGCTGGCCCAGGACCCTCCATGGGCCTGCGGGTCAGACCAGGGCCTGCTCAGGGGTGAAGATTATATCACCCCTGCGTTCACATCCCCGTCCTCCCTGGGAAGGGCCTGTGTTGTTTCCCTGCCTCACTTTCCCCGTCTGTGAAATGGGAGCGTGATGTTAATCATCACGCCCGCTGGTCGCTTCTGTGAGAATTAAATGAGCTCCGAGTGCGGGGTGCCCGGCTTGGCAGGACACGATGCTGTGAGCGCTGGCTGTGGCCACCAGGGGGTTCATGGAACATTCCTTAGTTCTGATGTGGCCTCGTCTACTCACCTTTTTGAAAAAGATGCTTTTATTGATTTTTAGAGAGAGAGGAAGGGAGAGGGAGAGAGAGATAGCAACATGGATAATAGAGAAACATCACTGATCGGCTGCCTCCTTCAGGCCCCCACTGGGGATGGAGCCCACAACCAGGCCTGTGCCCTGACCTCCTGGTGCATGGGTTGATGCTCAGCCCCTGAGTCCTTTGAGAGCCGACAGATGTGAGTCTCGGGTGAGCAGGCGTCGCCGGAAGGCTGGTTGGCACACGATTTGGTGCCCACGGGCGAGGTAGAGAGAAGTCGCTGGGCTCGGGGCGCATGGCCCCACAGTGGACACCCCTGATGCTGCCAGACACAGAAGCCTGCGTGGTGCCCAGCGCCAGGGTGCCCAGCGCCAGGGTGACCCGGATAAGCCCTGAGGCTGTTCGGAGCCTGGATCCCAGCTGGCGAGCCTCACGCCTCAGCTGAGTGAGGAGCAGCTTCCGGGCGGCCGTCCTTGGCTGGCACGTCATTCGTCCTTGTCACACACATGTCAGCCCGACCCCTGCCCACCCGGGAGCCGGGGGCCGCGAGGGACCTGCTCCTCCTGCCCGTCCCAGACTGACGTATGGCGGCCCAGGCCCCGCCCCCAGCGCCGCACGGAGCCTTCAGGGCACAGCTGCTCACCTCGCCCTTCGATGTGCCCGTCCTGGGCCGGAGCCCACGGAGCCCACGGAGCCCACGGCCACAGACGCGGTGCCCGCTGTCCAGGCCCCAGGGCCACCCGTCGCTGTCGCGGGCACCCTGCAGCCGCGGCTGCCACGGGCCTGGTCTTGGCCGTCCTTGCCAGGTGTGAAGGAGAAAGCCAGGTGGCGCAGGCTCCTGGCACCGACACCCGTCAGCCGCTTCAAATTACAGCTGCCCCGCGGGGTCGGCGAGGGCTGTGCCAACTTCAGCGGAGGCCTCGGTGCCAGCCCCGAGCTGGCGGCTGTGCGTGCAGGGCCGAGCCACTTCGCACCAAACCCGTCACCAAACCCGGGAAGGAGGGCTGGGGAGAGCCCGGCCCACCCAGCCTCCGCGGTCAAGCCAGAGCTCCTGCAGGGAGAGCTGGATGGATGGGGGGCAGGGCCAGACAGGAAGCTGCAGGGGCCTCCCCGGAGGAGGTGGGGAGATCCTGGGTCCCCCAGGCCTGGCCGGATCCCCAGCTGGTGAGCCCCTCCCCAGCCCCCCCTTTCTCTCCACACCTGAGCCATCGCTCCCTTCCTCCAAGATGGAGACGGGCCTCCTTTGGTTTGGCCAATCCCTGCCCGACCTCAGTGCCCTGCCGACACCTGCTCTCCACCTGCCTCCACTCTGAGCGCACCTGAGACCCTCACCAGAGCCCCGGGAGGCCTCAGTCTTCCCACCTGCGCAATGGGCGTGTCTGATTTCCCAGGGCTGCCACACAAGCGCCGCAGATGGGCACTGACACGACAGGCATTTATTCTCCGACAGCCTGGAGGCCGGGCGTCCGAGACCGAGGTGCGGGCAGGGGGGCTACCCCGAGGCCGTGGGGGGAACGTGGTCCAGGCCCCGTCTTTCTTCTCCGCGGCTTGTGGAGGCCCCACCTTGGCTCTGGCCCCCGGGGCAGCCCCAGCCCCCTGCTCTGGCCCGGGGGGGGGGGGGGGGGATGGATTTACCTGCTTCCCCATTTCTCCCCCAGCAACTTCCTCTCTGCCCAGCAGGGGTCACTGTGGGGACGGGGGACAGGTGGGGTGGGAGGAGCCCGCGGTGGGGCTCGGGGGCGGGAGAGCTGAGGCTAGAGCTGTGCCCAGCTGGGCAGCCGGAGCCGAGGCGACCTTGACCACCCATGGACCCGGAGCCGAACCCGAGGGAGGGGATTGGCAGGGATTGTGGTGAGGGACCGGGCCCTCCCTGGCACCGGGACTCAGCACCCTGACCAGGCCCAGGGCCCTGCGCCTCACAGGCCCCTGTCGTCCGGTCCCCTAGACCCTGGGCCGAGCAGACGGTGTGATGAACGTCTGCGTCCTGCAGGGACCTGAGGCTGGGCGAGGTGTGCACCTGTGGGGTGCTACTCGAATGGAGCCTCGCTCCCTGGGTGAGGATCCCGACCTCCACCCTCGTCCCGTCCACAGTTATCTCTGAGGGAGGACGGTGTCATTTCCTGCGAGGGCGCAAAGCTTCCGAATGGATGATGCAAGATAAGCTAGCGGCAGCCACTCACACCCTAGCGTAAGTGAGCGTGGAGCCTGTTCGGGCCGGTTCACAGCAGAACAGGATGCAGAACAGTGGGTGCCCAGAGGCCATTAAGCATAAACAGAGAACCTCATCCTGGATTTGAGGGGGGCTTTCTAAGAAAGGGGGTGCACTCTGCAAGAGCCCCAGCAAGCAGCAGAAGCCCAGGGGGCCCTGAAGAAAGAGGGTCCACTCTCAACCCTGCTCACCATGGGACCTGGGAGTGCCTGGCAGGCCTGCCAAAGGGGCCCCCCCTGGTTCCGGCCTAAGCATCCCTCACGCCCCTGTCTCAGGAGGGGCCTGGCCCTGGGCCTGGAGAGGGAAGGGGAGGCCGAGGGGGCAGGGAAGGTGCTGCCAAGAAACCAGGGCCCTCTCAGACACGCACCCCCCCCCCCCCCCCCCGGGCCTGCATCCGGCCCCAACCCCCAGCCCTGTCCGCGTGGCATCGCTGGGACGTAGGTCTCTGCAAACGGTGAAGTGAAGGGCACTCGGTGGACCCTGTGACCTTATAGTGCAGCGGTTCTCAACCTTCCTCATTCCGCGACCCTTTAACAAGGCTCCTCATGTTGTGACCCCAACCATAACATTATTTTCGTTGCTACTTCACAACTGTCATGTTGCTGCTGTGATGAATCGTCATGTAAATATCTGATATGCAGGATGGTCTCAGGCGACCCACATGAAAGGGTCGAAAAGAGAGGGAGATTGGAGACACACAGGGGACTGCCCACGGGCGACCGAGGCAGCCACTGGAGGGCTGTGCCCACGAGCCCGGCCGCCAGCCCCTCTGGCGGAGTCCCAGCCCCTGAGTCTGATGCTGCTCCACTCGGAGAAGAGGTGGCAGGTGACCCAGGGGCAGGTGACCCAGGGGCAGGTGGTCCAGGGGCAGGTGACCCAGGGGCAGGTGGTCCAGGGGCAGGTGGTCCAGGGCCAGGTGGTCCAGGGGCAGGTGGTCCAGGGGCAGGTGACCCAGGGGCAGGTGGCCGAGGGGCAGGTGGTCCAGGGGCAGGTGGCCCAGGGGCAGGTGGTCCCGCTGGGCTCCGGGTGGCCCTGCAGGAGCCCGAGGCTGGGAGAACCCGCAGCCTCAGCGGAGAGGCCTGTCCGCTCCTCCGGGCGTTTCTCTGTTATCGTGAGGGGTTTCCCAGGCCTGTCACCCCACCTCACAGCAACACCCACCTGGGCCCTGCACCCTCCTCAATGCCAAGTGGGCGCTGGCCCCCACAGGAGGGCTAGAGGGAGGCTGCGGCCGGCCGGCCCCGGGGCCACCTCCAAGGACTGGCTCCGTCCCCGCGAGCAGCTCTGGGCTCAGCACCGCGTGGTCCAGCGGCCCCAGGACGCAGCCCCCCGGCCTGAGCGCCTTCCAGCCCAGGCAGGTGTGCGCCCTGTCCCCCAGCTCTGCTGCCCAGGACGCAGCCTCCCGGCCTGAGCGCCTTCCAGCCCAGGCAGGTGCACGGCCTGTCCCCCAGCTCTGCTGCCCAGGGCGCAGCCCCCCGGCCTGAGCGCCTTCCAGCCCAGGCAGGTGCACGGCCTGTTCCCCAGCTCTGCTGCCCGGAGAGGTGGGAGCCTGGCCGGTGTAGCTCAGGGATTGAGCGTCGACCTAGGAACCAGGAGGTCAGGGTTTGAGTCCTGGTCAGGGCACAGGCCCGGGTTGCGGGCTCCATCCCCGGTGTGGGGCGTGCTGGAGGCAGCTGATCGATCAATCAATGATTCTCTCATCATTGATGTTTCTATCTCCCTCTCCCTTCCTCTCTGACATCAATAAAAGTATATATTTTTTAAAAAGGGAGGTGGGAAACTCTACTACATTACACTGTTGTTGTTACTACCAGACGTGAGCCTGAGTCAGGGGCTGAGACGTGTGGATCTGAAGGACCTGTGTGCGTGAGAGAGACAGCCACAGAGGGACAGAGAGGTGGACAGAGACACAGAGGGACAGAGAGGTGGACAGAGACACAGAGGGACAGAGAGGTGGACAGAGACACAGAGGGACAGAGAGAGGGACAGAGATGGACAGAGGGACAAAGAGATGGACAGAGGGACAGGGACAGAGAGATGGACAGAGGGACAGGGACAGAGGAGACAGAGCCATCGGGCAGCAGGCTGGTCAGGAAGCCCAGGCGGTGCCAGCGCCACCCAGAGGCCGCGCGGGGGATTGCAGCTGGAGGCCGGGTTTCCCGGGAGAAGAGAAAACAGCAGCAGCAGCTGTTACTCATGCCCACACCTGAGGGTGACTCAGCCCCGGACACATCACCTCACAGGCCGCGGGGGGGCGGGGGGGCGGGCGGACAGGCACCCCAGGTCTGCTGCTGCCTCTCTGCTCGGCCCACGCCCCCTCCTGCTCCACGGCAGGGGTCGGAGGTCACGGACCGGCTGGAGGACAGGCCTCCTGGTCACGCCCAGCCCCCCTGCACCCGGGGACAGCCCCAGCTTGCCTGGAGCAGACCCTGGCCTGGGGTCCTGCCTCGGCCGCTCCAGCTGCCTGGCCTGGAGCTGGGCCCTGAGCCTGGAGGAGTTGTGGAGACGGGGACCGCCTCTGGGCAGGGAGGGGACGCGAGGAGTCAGGCCTGGAAAGCGGGGCGCTGGGGCCAGGCACGCGCTGGTCTAGCGATAAATGCACCGCGTTTTAATCCTCCATGGGCTTTCAGAGAGGGTGGAGGGAGGGAGGACGGGGGAGAGAGAAACGTCGACACCATTGGTTGCCTCCTGCTCACCTCACGCTCTGACCGGGGTCGGGGATTTGAACCTGTAACCCAGGTACGTGCCCTTGGCCGGGAATCAAACGTATGGCCCCTCGGTGGGCGGGCCGACGTTCTAACCACTGAGCCACCGGCCAAGGGCCATCACACCATTTCTATCGTTAGGGCCTGCGTTCCGGGGCCTCCTGGGGCTGAGCGCAGCCTCCGCCAGGAAAGGGCTGCGACTGGGGGCGAAGGGCTCGGAGCTGCCCCTGGGTGTCCAGCGAAGCCCCAGGCCGCTCCCTGGGATGGGTTTGCCCTCCGGTGGCATGGAGGGCGGCGGGGACCAGGCGGGGACCCTGGCCAAACCCCCAGGTCACCCCTGCTGCCCAGAGCACGAAGCCCAGCGCCCAATTAGGAGTCAGGGACCCGGCCTGGGTTCAGCTGTGCCGCTTACCACCTGGGCCTCAGTTTCCCCGCCCGGGAAGTGGGGAGAGAGTCACTGCTGCCTGGAGAGGACCGAGGAGGTTCAGGCGTGAGAGGCCGGCACCACCTGGCCCCCCTCCTCCCAGCCGCAGGGGAGGGTCTTCGCCTGCTCAGGAGGAGTCCTCCGCATTCGCAAAGGCCAGTGTGCGCCCAGAGTGCGCCGGGAGAGGGGAGGCAGGGAGGGGGGTCCTGGGAGAGGGAGGGCGGGGAGGGGGGTCCTGGGAGAGGGAGGGCGGGGAGGGGGGTCCTGGGAGAGGGAGGGCGGGGAGGGGGGTCCTGGGAGAGGGAGGGCGGGGAGGGGGGTCCTGGGAGAGGGAGGGCGGGGAGGCGGGTCCTGGGAGAGGGAGGGCGGGGAGGGGGTCCTGGGAGAGGGAGGGCGGGGAGGGGGGTCCTGGGAGAGGGAGGGCGGGGAGGGGGTCCTGGGAGAGGGGAGGGCGGGCAGGCTGAGAGCTGGCAGGGCCTGGGATCCCTGCGCTCCTGCTCCTGGCGATCCCGCCCGGGTTTTGCGGCCGCCCCTCCCTCCTCCCTCCGCGCCCCTCCCTCCTCCGCCCGCTCCCTCCTCCCTCCTCACGCTGGGCTCAGTCCTCTGGCATTTCCTGCGCCCGGGAAGCGCCGCAGCCGAGCCCCGCGCCCCGCGCCCCGCGCCCAGCTCCCCGCACGGTAGGCGCTGCGGGCGGATCCGCCGGGAGGCCCGGGGCCGGGAGGGGCCGGGAGGGGCCGGGAGGGGCCGGGAGGGGCCGGACAGGCCGAGGCGCAGCGGCCGGAGCGCGCAGCGTCGGGGCGGGGAACGCCGTGCGCGGCGCCCGGGCCCCGGGGACGGGCACCCCCCTCGGACCCCGACAGCGGCGGCGCTGCGGAGAGGGAGACCCGCCGGGACCGTGGCGCCCGGAGCGCGGGGAGCGGCCGGGAAGGTCTCCTGGGCTCAGGCGCGGGCGGGGCCGGGTGCGGGAGCGGCGCGCGCAGCCTGGCTCCCCACTTGGTGCGGCTGGAAGGAGGGGACCCCGAGGGGAGCCGGCCGGTGTCCCCAGCCCAGCGACCCGGGTGCAGAAGGGGCGGGTGTGCGGGGTGGGGCGGGGCGGGGCGGGTCTGGACCGGCCCTGGGGTCTGTCTGGCCTCCGGCTCCCGGGGGCTGTGTCTGGGGCCATAGGGTGAGGGGCCACCTGCGCCCCCACCGCCGCGCCTCTACCGCTGGGCCACTGACCCCTGCAGCTCTGGAGCCTCAAGAATTGTTCTGGGGACCAGTGTCGACAGGAGGGTCCTGGGGGCCCGGGGAAGGTGGGGCATGGTTTGGGGGCCGCCCGCAGCCCCTGGGGACCAATCACAGCCTGGGCTCCCCGGGGGGCCCCCTCAGCTGGGCTGTGGGCCGCCCGCAGTGGCTGGAGTTGGGGTGAGCGTGGCCCTGGGGTGTGGACAGGCCCCCCGGGAGGAGTGGGCTCCCCTCGCCGCCTTGGGCGGGGCAGGCCCGGCGCTGGCTGGGTTTCCTCACTTCCTACTCGTTTGCACGAGGAAGACGTGTGTGTCTGCCAGCCCTCAGGTGGCCCTGCGGGTGGACCCCTGGCATCGTCCCCTGGGCACAGCCGCCAGGCCGGGACAGCCGCAGGGCGTCCGCCAGGGGCGTGGGCACCGCTGGGGGCCGGGGTCTGTGTACCGGCAGGACCCGCCCAGGCGGCAGCAGCTCTGTCCTCACAGGAGCGGGCGGTGGGCTGCCGCCGAGGCCTTTGTCCCCGCCTCCCTGGCCGCCTCCCTGGCTGTGGGGCCTGGCGGCTCCTTGAACTTGACAGGCTGCGTGGACAGCAGGCAGCTCGGGCGTCTGCACGCCCCTGGGGCCCAGCTCCAGATCTGTGGGCCCCATTGTCTGCCCACACGTGTGCGGGGCGGGGTGGGGCGGGAGGCAGGCCGCGTGGGTCTGGCTGGTGGTGCCAGGCTGAGTGTAGGAAGGTGGGGCCGCCTCGAGACGCCGGTGCAGGTGCCGCGCCCTGGGCAGTGCCCCTGACGCCCCCGGAGGCCCCTTGGTCTGGGGGTCGGGCTAGCCCTGCAGAGGGGAGACCGCAGGACGCAGCCCCCCACTCCCCCTGGGGGTCCGTGTGCTGCGCGGGTCCAGGATCACCTCCTCCCCTGAAAGCTCTCTTCCTGGGAGCCACGGGCCGGCTCCGCGTGGGGAGGGAGGGAGACGCCCTGATGAGCGCGCGGCTGGTCCTCGGGCTGTCTGGGGCCGCGGGCTTTGGCTGTTCCGCGGTGCAGCCCACGTAGGCGGTGGTGCATGTGCGCACGGACACGCACATGGGCCGGGGCAGGTCCCGCTCCGGGCCCCCGCCCGGTGGGTGTGACCGCCCGGCTGTCCACAGGGGGGCAGGGGCCCGGTGGGCACCATGGTACTGGAGGCAGACGCGGGCTGGGCTGGGCGCCTGATGTGCTCCTGCGGGGCCTGTGCCCTCAGAGGGAGGTCGCCCGTGACCTAGGAGCCTGCAGGTGAGGGAGCAGCTGGCGGGCAGGGCGAGCTCGGGGGGGAGCAGCCGCCTCGTCCGCGTGTCCTCATCGCCGGCTGCCCCCGGGCGCTGCGGGCGCGGCCCTGGTCCTGTCCCCGGGGCGGCGGTGACTCGAGGTTGGATCGCGCTGTCCTCTTAGCTCACAGCTGCTCCAGGCCAGGGCTCCGGCGTGCGTGTGTGGTGTGAGGTGGGCTCGTGTGGCGCCGGTGCCAGGGGGGTGGGCCCTGCCGTGTGCCCAGGGCTGGGGGTGGGGGGCAGACAAAGCGGTGACTCCCTCTGGCTGAGAGCTCTTTGCCCAGCCGGGTGGCTGGGACAAGCCACCAAGGTGAGGCATGTCGCAGGGCTGAGCTGGGGCCGCCTGCTGGGCCTCGGGGACCCCCCCACCCCGAGGAGGGGGCCTCTGGATCGAGGATCACAGCCCTGAGCGGTGCGAGGAGGGGCCAGCGGAGAATTCCCAAGGTCACCGGGGCCATCCAAGGTCACCCCCATCGTGAGCCTGGCTGGCCAGCTCTGAGGGATGTAGGGTACCCCCAGGGCTTGTAAATCTCAGAGTGAGCTCAGCCCAGCCCTCCAAGCCTGTCACATCCCTGTCCCCTAGCCGCCAGCACTGGGTCTGAGGACACAGCAGCCCACAGGCTCTCCGTTCTGGCCCCTGCCTCACCCCAGCCCCCACGATCTGAAATAGAAGCCAGCCCTGGCCAGTGTGGTCAGTGGGTAGAGCATCGGCCTGTGGACTGAAGGATCCCAGGTTCGATCCCCGGTCAGGGCACAGGCCTGGGTTGCGGGCTTGATCCCCGGTGGGGGGCGTGCAGGAGGCAGCTGATCAATGACTTTCATTATTGATGTTTCTATCTCTCCCCCTCCCTTCCTCTGTGACAGTGGTTCTCAACCTTCCTGATGCCACGACCCTTTCATACAGCTCCTCATGCTGTGGTGAGCCCCAATTTCATTGTTACAAATTGAACATCGTTAAAGCACAGTGATGAATCACAAAAACAATATGTAATTATAGATGTGTTTTCCGATGGTCTTAGGCGACCCCTGTGAAAGGGTCGTTCGACCCCCAAAGGGTCGCGACCCATAGGTTGAGAACCGCTGCTCTATGAAATCAATAAAAATACATTTTAGTGAATAAATAAATATATATACGTATATATGAACCTGCTCAGAGCCCCCTGTGACTCCCAATGGGCTCATAACCCCCGACTCCGGTCCCTGCCGCCTGTCAGCTCTCTCACCTCCTTGCCCGCTGGCCTCGTGGGCACCCAGCCCCAGGACCTTTGCACGGGATGCCCTCTGCCCAGGGTGCTGGCTCTGACCTCAACTCAGAGGTCGCTGCTCCGAGGGACCCTCTGTGCCCACGAAGCGCCCGTTCTGAGGCGGCTGCGTTGTGTTTGCCGAGCAGCTTGGACCCGTCTCTGAGGTCCTCGCCACCTGCGCTGTCATCGAACGGCTGAGTGTGGCGACGGCAGCCGGGCCGAGCCGGCCCCACGGGGGCTGTGCGCACCGCGGTCATCGTTCGCCTGCTGCCTGAATGTGTGCCCGGGCCTGGCACATAGTAGTGCTCTGAGCACACAGCTGTTGTTGCCCAGGGAGGTCAGTGGCTGGGACTGGGTGCCCCTCCTGGACCCCCCCCCCCCCCCCGTCTGCGCTTCACCAGCTCCTCCCACCCCCCTGCCTCCCACCCGGCCCCTGTGCTTCCTGAGTATGGGGGGGGCGCAGGGAGGCTAACCTGGGAGTGGACTAGCCCCCCCGGCCCCCCTGACCGTCGCCAAGGGGCTCGGCCGGAGGTGAAAGCGCCACAGCCCACCTATTCATACAGGTGTTTGGGGACACCCATCCCCCACCCCCTAGGACTGGCTGCCCCTTGTGACCTGACGGGGGTCACGTCCCTTTGTCCAAGGCAGGGGGCACTTGGAAGCCGGGGACAGGCCCCTGCTGGTGGGGACAGGCAGGTCCCGGGAAGGAAGGACGTCCTCGCAGAGGGCAGGAGCACAGGTGGCATTGACTGGGCACATATGGCAGGGGAGGGGGCTTACAGGGGGGCAGGGCCGGCGCTGAGCTCAGGAGGGTCCCATGCCCGCCTGTGGGTGGGTACGGCAGAGGGTCTGTTAAAGAGCCCGGCCTCACGTCCCAATCTCCGCAGGCAGTGGCCCCCTGGGATTTGTATGCCCGTCTGTTGGGGTGAATGTGGGCGGGAGCCGCTTAAAGGGCCCCGGGCTGCGTGCTGGTGGCTGGGCATTCTGCTCGCCCGCCCAGCAGCTGACACAGGAAGGCCAGGTCCCCACCCCACCCCCAGTCAGACTCCCAGCATCCCGCGGACGCAGGCCAGAGAGGGCTGAGGACCACAGGCTGGGGACTGGCCCATCCCCAGGGAGCCGGCGGGACATTCCAGGGTCCGAGGGGGTCAGGGAGCTGCTGATCGCTGTCCCTGGGATGCTGGTCGGAGCCGGGAGAGCAGCGTCCGGATCTCATTGGACGGGGGTTGGGGTGGAGGGTGGTGCGTTCTCTCTGCCGCCAGTTCTGTCACCCTGGGAGGGACGCCCCGGGTCTGGGGTCCTTGGCAGCCCCGTCCTCCCATGGCCTTGGGGTGGTGAGCTCTTCACCCCAACCCTGGGGGACAGGGCTCGGCAGAGCCCCCCTCCTGTGTGGAGCCTAAAGGCCAGGCTGGCCCCGTGGGGCAGGGCACAGAGTGTGGCCAGGGCAGCGTGGGGCAGGTCGGGCAGCGTGGCAGAGCCCTCGCCCACTCAGGAGGCCTGTGTCCCCATCTCCGTCAGGGGTCCCTGAAGGAGGCCCCTTGGGTCTGTAGGTGACACTGACTGTCCCCGAAGGGCCTGGGACACCCTGTGCCCGCACCACCCTGTGCCCAGCGGACAGCCTGGGTCCCCGCCCGCTGGGCTGGGCGGGCAGGTGGCTGGCACAAGCCCCTGTACAGGGGTACAGACCTGGGGCTGGAGGAGGGGAAGCGGCTGGGCCAGGGTCCGAGGGGTCAGTGGTACTAGGGGCCTGGGTGGCCGGGCAGCCGAGGGAGATGGCCCAGGGCTTTCGCTCCCTCCTGAATCGGTGCCCGCCCGCGAAGGCGCCCAGCAGTCCCGTGAGGAGTCCCGCTGGCCCCGCACGCGTGCGGGTGAGCATCAGCCGAGTGCTGGCGCCTCGGGCACAGCTCCCCGCGGGCAGGAGCCAGGCCTCCTCGTTAGCCCACGGCCAGGCGCACAGTAGGGCCTCGGGGTGCCGGGGAGGGCGGCGAGCCGGGACGTGGCGTTCGAGCCCCGGGAACAGTGAGGACCCACCACACGTGGCGCGTTTTCCACGGAAAAGGTTCCCGCTAATTGAAAAGTTCGAAAGTCACTGGACACCTGTCGTCCCTCCTCCCCCCTCTGCCAGGCTCCCCACCACCTGCCTCCTGCTCGCGGTGGGGAGGGGGC